GAACGTACAGCAAGTTTGGAAACTATCAAAACTATTAGATAATGCTGACTTTAAGTATCCATTCACATTTTAAAAAAAGCATACCTATTGTTCTTATTGTAGCTTTCACAAAGTAGGATAACTTTTTTTGGGGAATGTTGTAGCTCATATTTCAGATCCACTTGGACACAATAAAAGATAGGCCTAATTTAGAAAGCGATCTCTTTCGACTCTGCCAGTCGGGGTCAAGCCAAGCTTTGTTTTGGGAAGGATGCATCCCTACAGAAAGACAGCACAGAGAGTAAACAATTAAATGATAATATACTGCATTCATTTCTCTGCATTGTGCAAAAAGAATTAATTATAATCAACATTTGTTCAATAGTATTGACTTCATGACCAATGTAATGACGCCCATGTCACACTCAAGTTTTGTACCAACCGCTCCAGACGTAAAGAGTCGCATGGGGATGCTGGAGTGTTTTCTGGAAGCCCCGGGAGTATAGGGGTCCTAATGCTTATCTTATGTATGTTACGATGTGCTGCTGCTGCTGATAGATAGATATACATTCGAAATTTTCTGAGACGGCCACTCATTTTCGAGAAGGAAAGTGATTGTTGTTGTTTTTTCCCCGGTGGATGTCTTGGACAATGTCATTATTTATAGAAAAAACGCAAGTTAGAAAATACGATGTAGAATCTAGCCGTTTGTATAGGTGACCGTCTTAAACAGGTGGCCTTTAGAGCAGGTTTGACTGTACTTTACTAATAAATATCTTTTTAGATGGCCCGTGCACTGCTTTGTCCGGGCATTTAGTACGGTTAAGACGACTCTGATAATCTTGTATCTTCAAAATAAAAATTTGATCTCAACCTGTTAATACATTGTAATGTCTTGGGACGGTTGTCTTTAAAAAAAATGTGAAATACAAATGCGTACCTCTTTTCGAACACAGAAGATACTATTGTAAAAATGCCTGTTATAAAAGTTGTATAATAGTAGTGAGATGAAGACTTTTTCTTTCCAAATTGCGGAAAGTCCACTTCAATAACATCACACAATGGCGAACTGGTTTTGAAGAACAGGACAAGTTGTGCTACAAAAAAATGATATTGTTGTCAAAATTTATGTAATGTAACGTTGTCATCAGTATGTTCCTCTACATAAATATCAGCACGGTCTTCGAGGTCACGGCATTGATAACGAGTAAACAAGGCGATCATTTACAGCAAACGATCTACTTGGTGTGTAACCGAGTTTGTTATCGTGGAAAGCACTCAGACCTGTGTACTTCACTTAGCAATCTGAGCCTGGCGTTTGACAGTTTTCGTTGACAAGCTGATTGAACTACGCTGAGAACTCGACTTCGTTTGTTTTTGGTGAGTTTTTTTGTAAGGACGCTCGCAACTGCATGAAGTCATATGAGCGCTCGGGACACACTGAACATTTTCAGTTTGGTAGGAATTAATTTTGAATTTTGCCCGGGCAGCGGCCGAAGCATACTCTTAATGATTTTCGGACCACCAAGGTATCTTTAACGTGCGCAACTTGCACACAGGACCTCCGAGACCTTTTCACCCTTATTTGAGATAGCTAGGTGTCAGATATTACATACCTTTAGATCAGGTGTGTGGCTGAAAAATAGCAGTAAGAAGGAGCCAAGGAGTAGTAAAAGAAAGGCAGCAGAAAGAGTCAGGAGCCCAGGGGAAGGGACAAAGACGAAACAGCATCGGTCTTGTTATGGACAACACAGGCCTGCTCGCCCAAACACGATCTACTTGTGGACCAAAGTACAGTTTCTATCCATCAGTTTATGTATATTACTGTGTGTTCTTTCGTGAAAGTGTTAAGCAAGGATTGAAATTTAGAGACTTGGTTAGAGCAATTATAAGTCTGGGACAAAAAAAGTTTCCCATATTTATCAATCTAAAGTTTGTTAAATGTAGCAGACTAATCGCACTTCGTATTTTATCAACTTAATCAGTTCATTCACTCACATGATGCTGGAAATCCCACACTTCTCTCATCTATTACGCAATACATGACTGTCTGTTGTCATTTGCGAAATAAAAGGCGAAGCAACATCAACAAGGCCAAGAAGTATCGCGATAAGGTACGTTAAGGGACATACGAGTTTAGACTTTACCTTTTTGTGGTAAGAAAAATGTTTTAATATAATATTAAATTCTCTTCAATTTCAAGCTCAAATGGTTCTGAAATCAAAGGTGTTGGATATTATTAAATTGTGTCCCAAAACGTTGGGTAATATAACAGTGTATCAAGCCCAGTTAATTGCTATGTAAGTTCATGTACATAAAAATAATATGGGTTTGTGTTTTATATAGTGTGCCGTCCTCTTGCTAATACTAATAACATGTGCTGGTATAATATAGTATTGCTATTTTAAAAAAACAAAAAAACAACAAAAAAACACTGCATCATGGGCTGTATCGATAGTTGGAAATAATTTGCTAGTAAATATTATATCATTGTTTCACTGATAGACCACTAACTAGTTGAACTAGTAGCTTCAGTTCGCCTCCCACACTTTAAAGCTGCTAGGGTTTTTGTTTCTCTTTGAGAATTATTCGGGATTCCTTGGTGTTTACATTTCTCCTTCATTTCGTGAGGGTTTTTTTCTGTTCCTATTTCGCTTTCGTTATTGTTTTCGTTTTGTTTCGACTGGAGCTCTGTTGTTGGGTGATTTTTGTTTTTGTTCGTTTTTTGTTTGTTTGTTTTGTTTGTTTGTTTTTTTTGTTTATTTGTTTGTTTATTGTTTGTTTTTTGTTTGTTGTCATATGTTTTGTTTGCGTATTTGTGTGGGTGCTTGTTTGTTCGTTTGCTTTTTGTTTTTGTTTTTGTTTTGTTTTGGGAGGGAGTCATCAGTTGGCTGAACTATAAATGATCCCATCTTTTGACTGTTCCCAGGTTCAATAGTTCCGAGAGCTGCTCACTGCTCCCCTCCAGATGGGCAAGATCACTGAGTGCTGCGTGGCCACAGTGGGCGACAAGGAACTCTACCGGCCAGGTGAGAGTGTCAAGGGCACTGCCAGCCTCAAGGTCACAGGAGAGGTCAGGGCGAAGTCGGTCAAAATCTTCTGTATCGGACACGCCCTCACCAGGTGGCGGGAGTTCACACAAAGGTACTCAGAAGATGATTACGTGGGCAGCGAGTCGTACTTCAATTACGTCCAGACTCTGGCAGGAAACGGTAATGGTAAGTTGGCGAGAGCAGACTTCGACATGGGAGTCTTGTAGAACTAATTATGGACATAGGTCAGTCATTTGCCTCCCTATTAATATTTTTGACCTTAGACACACTGAAAAAAGGCGTCCACATATAGGTCAACTATTTGCCTCTCTACCAGTATCAATATTGTCCCCAGATGCACTGATGCTGAAAGAAGGCGTCCACTAATAGATAGTTCAACTATTTTCCTCTCTATCAATATTATTATTCTTGTCCTCAGAAACATTGATGCTGAAAGAAGGCTTCCACGATATAGGTAAACTATTTGCCCATAATACTATAATAATAATTATTATTGTTGTCCTCAGAAGGAAGCGTGGAGCATCCCGTCTTTCTAATACAGGGTGCCCACTTCGGCTGGGATCGGCCGATTGAGCCGATCGCCCGACTCGATCGCCTAAAAAGCAAACGTGTTTGTTTTCAATTTCAGGCGACCCAGTCGGGCGATCGGCCCGATCCAGCCGCAGTGGGCACTCCGTATAAGACCCCAGTTCTAGATTCAATTGATTCAAGTAATTCAAGTGTTGTGCTCAGAATGTTTCTGTTGTCCCCAGACACGCTGATGCTGAAAGAAGACGTACTCATAATACAGGCCAACTATTTTCCTCTCCTTTACTATCATTGTTGTCCTCAGACACACTGGTGCTGACAGAAGGCTCCCACACATATAACTTCAACTTTCGGTTGCCTGCCCAAGGCCTGCCCTCTTCTTTTGAGGGAAGTAAAGGAGCTGTTCGGTACTGGCTGCACATAAAAGTCGAGCGCCCTCTCCTCAAGTTTGACGAAAACTTTTACAAATTCTTCACAGTCCTAAACAGAATTGATGTAAACCAACCGGTTTACAAGGTACATTATATTGATTTCAGTTAGCCTGTTGCATTTATCGTGTGGTAACAGCATTTTGGGTAAAGTAGGAAGGGTGTGTGTGTGTGGGGGGGGGGGGGTGTATTGCAACTTACCAATTTAAAACAAATTATGTTCGCTGACTCGCATGGTACTCTTTATATGATTCACCAGTAACAATAAGATAAAATGAAATAGAAATATATTAAAGCACCGTTAAGTAATGACAGGCAAAAGTACATCATTATGTTTTAGTTTGCAATTTTTGTCCAATCAAAGTACATGTATTGATTAAATTGTTCATCTCTTTGAATATAGCGAAGATATTTTTTCTTTTATTGTTGAAGAGATAGCAAGGACTCAGTACACAAACACAGAGAGAGAGAGAGAGACAAAGAGAGAGAGAGAGAGAGAGAGA